GTCATGGTGCATTTGCAAATAAATAAATAAATAAACAAATAAATAAATAAATAAACAAATAAATAAATAAATGTAGGCATTATAATTCTAAACAGATTTCTTTGGGACACTGTGGCCTTGCCAAATCAAAGCGCTGATATTGTTCCATGAAATCAAAAAGCCAGATCAGTCTTGAAATATCCAAACTGCCGTTGCCACATTTAAACTTTAAAATCAAAATCAGAATCAGGTTTATTGYCCAAGTATGTTGACACACACAAGGAATTTGTTTCCGSCTGTTWGTGTCTCTCTAGTATTAACAATATGCAGATACTTTACATATAATTTACACGTAGTACACACTATACATAAAAGATACACATTATACTTCACTATACCAGGAWATATCTGTGTGGTGTGCTTTACAGTGTTATTCRCAAAAAAAGCAATATAACAGTATGCAGAGCGAATATTAAATATAAGTAATACAGCAGCAGTGTAAAATCGATGATTAGGAGTAAGGTGCATTAATGAAGTAATGTACAAAAAGACTGATAGATAGTTCTCTGTAGTATAGAATATATAATCTAGCTGATGGATGTCTGATGATCAGCTGTTGATGATGGTGATGGCCTGGGGGTAGAAACTGTTCTTGTGTCTAACAGTCTTAGTGGACAGAGTTCTGTAGTGTCTGCCAGAAGGGAGGATTTGGACCATTTTGTGACCTGGGTGAGTGGAGTCTGTGCTGTCTTTCTCAGCCCATTTCCTGATTCTTGAGTAATACAAGTCCTGAATGGAGGTCAGTGAGGCCTCGATGACTGTCCTCATTGTTGGCTGCAGCCTGTTCCTGTCCTGCCTTGTGGCTGCTCCAAACCAGACTGTTATGATGTGCACAGGATGGACTCAATGACTGTGCTGTGTAGAACTGGATCAGCAGCTCCTGAGGTAGGTCCAACTTCCTCAACTAGCATAGGACGTACAGTCTCTGCTGGGCCTTTTTGAGGATGGAGGATATGTTGGGCTCCCACTTCAGGTCATGTGAGATGGTGGTTCCCAGGAACCTGAAGGACTCTACCATAGACACGGGGCTGTTGAAGATTGTGAGAGGCAGCAGTGCAGAGGGGTGTCTCCTGAAGTCCACTCTCATCTCCACAGTCTTGACCGTGTTCAGCTCCAGGTTGTTTAGGCTGCACCAGGACATCAGTCGTTCCACCTTTTGTCGGTATGCAGACTCGTTGTCGTCACGATGACTGTAGTGTCATCTGCGGACTTCAGGAGATTAACAGATGGGTCATTAGAGGTGCAGTCATTGGTGTATAGAGAGAAGAGCAGTGGAGAGAGCACACATCCCTGAGGGGCACCAATGCTGATGGACTGTGAGGAGGACATGATTTTCCCCAACTGCACCTGCTGCGTCCTGCCTGTCTGGAAGCTGGTGATCCACTGACACATGGCAGGAGTACAGTGACCTGGGAGAGTTTGGTGGAGACAATGTCTGGGATCAAGGGCATAATCACCATATTCAAAGTGTGTGTGTGTGTGTGTGTGTGTGTGTGTGTGTGTGTGTCACACAAAGCTTTACTTACGATGTAACTTTTTACATTGTCATCTTAAAGACTACAGTGATAGAAGTATTATATTATTAAGTAACATGATGTGTAGTCATAATACTTTCCCCACTAACAGGAAACCCCTCCCACCCACTAACTAACTTTTGGAAATCAGAACAACTGTCCAGAAAGTGCTGCTAATTTCAGCAGAGTTATATATCTGGACATTTTTTCATTTTTCACTGAGTTTTGATGACATAAAAATGAATATATGCATGTAGGCATGAGCCATAGCTGCTGATGAAGGATGGGATGTGGGAAGACTTGTGGTTAATTTAAACACACTCAAAAGAAGAAATAAAACTCACTGTTTTCATTTTAAAGATGGAAAAAAACCAAGGCTGACAAACCCAGCTTTAATAGCATGACCTTTATTTTATGAAATGTATTAGTGTGATTTTAAAAAGCAACTAAAACATTCAGCTCAATATTTTAATAACAACTTAGAAAACAATGTTTAAATCCAGTTTTTAACTCCCTTTGCTACTCTGCTGACAAGGAAAAAAATATTCTTACTGCACAATTTATACTGAATGCTGACTTTAAGTCTAAACTTGAATATGAAGCCAGGTGAGCTTTAACTTTATGCACAGAATGGCCGATATGATTATTGCATGACTCTT